TCTCCTCTCCTCTCCTCCTCTCTCCTCTCTCCTCTCTTCTGTCTCTCAAGTCTCCTGTTCTTTTCTGTCCCTCTCTTCCTCTGTCACTCTTCCTTTCCTCCCTTTTCCTCCTCCCCATTCCTCTTCCCCCTAGTCTAGGTCCCCTTTCCTTCCCCCTCCCCCCAGGTTCCCCTCCCTCTCCCCTCCCCTCCCCCTCTCCTAGGTCCCCTTCCCTCTCATTTACTTTCCCCTCTCATCCTCTGCCCACCCTTCCCCCTTCCCTACGTCCCCTCTCCTCTGACCTCCCCCTCCCCTGAGGACCCAGATTGTTGGGGGCAAGAGGCAGACCCTGTAAACTGCTTAGAGAGGGCTGTAAAAGCACTGGGAAGCGGTATATAAGTCTTAAGCGCCATCGCTAATTCCTCTCCCCTCTCCCCTCCCTTCTCCTCCTTCCTCCCTCCCCTCTCCCCGGATGAAGTTTATGCATCTTAAAGTTTCTGAGTTTGAATAATGGGATTTACCAGTCAACAGTCTTCACCTTCTAAAGGTGGCTTTCCGTTGAAAAGAATATACGCCAGGATGGTTCTTTTAAACGCATGAGACTTAATACATTGTTTTCCCTCTAGTAATTTTGGTTTCGTTTAAAAGCGTATAGACGACTACCTAGAACTTCCCGTGTCCTATTTCTGGCACGGTTTTGTGTCTGACATAAATAAATAAATGAGATGTTTAAAAGGGCAACCACCTAACTACCAAATGTGGGGCGCACAAATGTCTCCTTGTCTTGGAAATCAGCTGGATTGCTTTTGAACAACAGGGTCACCTTCACGTCGGCCCAGCAGTCCACGCGGAGGTGGCGTTGATGATCCTAGAAGCTTATCAGAAGCATCTGCCCCAGAAGCCGTACAGTGGACTCCTCTCTGAGAGCTTCAAACAGGTGCCTGCCTTCCATTGCTTTTGAACCTTCTCCCGGTTGAAGCAATTGGTCATATTCAACGTAGTTGTCAAAAAGAAGCAATTTTATAAGTTCTCCCAGTTTTCCTGGAGCCATAAGCTAAAAAAACCTGATCTCAGATGGACTTCCGTGAGCTTGGTGGTTTTCTTGCAGACGTTTCATTACCCAACTAGGGAACATCATCAGTGCTGATGAGCGTGGGATTTGCTCCCTTGTTTATGCAGGGTATGTTGCTCTAAACCAGGGGTCTCCAACCTTGGCAACTTTTAAGACTTGTGGACTTCAACTCCCAGAATTCTCCAGCCAGCAAAGCTGGCTGAGGAACTCTGGGAATTGAAGTCCACAAGTCTTAAAGTAGCCAAGGTTGGAGACCCCCGCTCAATACAAGCAAGGGGCAAGATCCCACACTCTCTAGCCCTGATGATGTTACCTAGTTGGGCAATGAAACGTCTACAAGAAAACAACCAAGCTCAGTTCAAGAACTCCACATCCCTTCATCCCTGGACTAAAAATAATTCACTTCTATTAAAACTGAACTAGTTTGACACTGCATCTTAAATGTTCCTTTTTAATCACACTTATGACTAACGCCCACGCTCACATAACGATTCCTCATGCGCACATGATCAAAATCCAGGAGCTTGGCAGCCGACTCATAGTTATGATTGCAGTTAACTTTTCACTTAACACTTGTGGCAAGGAAGGTGATTAAAATGGGGCAAAAGTCACCTAACAACTGTCTTGTTTAGCCGCAGGAAGTTCAGGTTCAATTGCAGTCGTAAGCTGAGGACTACCTGTAACTCCTAACATGTCTTGTGGATTGACAGCTGAGCAGTTTTTTTAAACAGTAAAGGACTTTTGTTCTGTTGAGATGAACTGAAGGATATTGGACAACTCTTTGGACTAGAACAGAGTTCCCCAACTTTTCTCGGTGGCCTGGAGCATGGGGTGGGGGGGGGGGAAGGGAGAGAGAGTATTGGGGATGGTTTTGTGGGAAGGGCAGGCGCATACGCATGTGTGAGCATGGCCTTGAACACCTGCGATGCTCGCACGAATGAGGCCCCGAGCACCCAAGATGCCTGCATGAGTGGAGCTCCAAGCGCCTGTACTAGTGGGGGCCCTGTGTGTCAACTCATAAAATATTTCTTTGGTCTTTTTAGAGTTGCCAACAGAAAGGGAGAGGGAGGAGCAGTGCAGCAGCTTGCAAACTGAAACTGCATTCCATCAATGTTTTCAAAAATAGTAACTAGGTGACCGAAGTTTCTTCCGTGCAAAATTCTAACTGGAGAACATGATGGATGACTCTTGTCTATGGAGGCGTCCCATTGGAGAATAGGAATTACGATACACCCAGAGGGGCGGGGGAAAACCAGGGTCAAGGTTGACAGTGAACGATGTGTCTCAGAGTCAGCTACACCCAGGCCATGCTGGCATGTTTACTCTTAATAAATCTTCTTTAAGTTTTTGGAAGTTTGGCTCGAGAGTCGTGATTTAAATGGGGGTAACTGCCAGATCCATGCTGTTCAAAAAAACTGCTCAGCTGTTCAATCCAAAAGACACCATGCACCCGTGATACACAAGCAGGGTCCCCCAAGCTCCTATGACACTTGCACGAGTGGGGTCCTGAGCCCTCGCCACAACTTGCACGAGTGGGGCCCCAAGTACATGGGACGCTCACGCGAAGTGGGCCGTGCGCACCAGCCGTCTGCTTATGAGACCCGGTTGTGATTAGGCCGTGGCCCCATAGTGGACATGGCCCACAGGTTGGGAACCCTGCCACTAAAAGACCTCCGGAATCTCTTCCAACTCTGTTAATCTGTTATGTCGCTTCTGTTTCTCCAGGTCTCCTATCTGGCCAGCATTGTCCGTTATGGGGAAACTCCAGAAAGCTCCTTCAATCAGTGGGCCTGGGGGATGGTTTTGAGGTTAAAGCTGCACATGAACGATTACGGCGTGCAGGGACACTGGGCTCCAGCACTGATACCTGACTTGGGGGATTCGCCCACCTTTCACCCGCTGCTGAAGGCGGTCAGATCTAGCCTCCCAATTGGCTGCTACCTTGCCTTGGCTATGTCCGCTGTTGGCCACAGGTAAATATTCATTTTTCTTTGTGCTTGCAACGGATGTTTCCTAAACATATCCGTAGTTTCTTGGAAGCTCCGATAACGTTTTTTTCTCCTTATGGCTAAGTTTGGATGTCAGGGACTACCATGCCCCTGTCGGAATCTGACTCGGAGGAGGAAGCTGAACAGCTGACAGGGAGCGGGAGTGTGACTCCATTGGCTGTGAAGGAAACTGGGGAAGGGCAGAGTCTGGCTGGGCAGAGCAGGGGAGAGGTAGAACAAGGAAGAGGGAATTCAGAGGAAGACCCAGGCCCACCCACCCCCTTCATTCTAGGGCATGCAGGGAGGAACAGAAAAGAGAGCAACGTGAATGGCTTATGGGGGAGGAAAGGGCCCTGATTCCCTTCATTAGCTGCAGCTGGGAACACTGTGTATAAAAAAGGCAAGCTGCGCGCAGCAAGCTGTTGGGACAAAATCGTGAATTTATCTGGTATTGTCGTGGCTTATCTGTGTTCCTGGCATCTTCCCAACTGTATGAGTTTTGCCATGCTTTCAAGTTTGAAATTCCTGCTCCTGCCCTGCCAAACTAATTACTGCAGCTTGGTTTGTTTGGATTTTAAGTTACAGTCTGTATGTATCTTGTTTTGGACTGAATTTCCTACAGTCAAAGGCTGTTCCTGGGAGAGTTTTTCTCCAGCCCGAAGGTAACCTGGACATTGGGGGCAAAGTTGGAGATAATAAAGGGACTCTTCTTGCTTATCTGACTGTGTCGCCTTTGTGCCACGCCCCTTTGGGTCATCACAGGGATGGCCAGGATAGTAAATAATTCTGGTTTAGTCGCAGTGGTTTCCTTTGTGAATTTCATGTGGCTTTCTCGAACGAGCAGCATTCGAGCATATCGTTTGTGGTTTTGTGGGTCTGCTTTACAAATACGGATCATTGTGACTTCCTAATGATTATTATTGTTGTACTTTATGATTCTTGACTCTTAATGACTCTTTATGTACACTGAGATACACTTATGCACCAAAGACAAATTCTTTGTACGTCCAATCACATTTGGCCAATAAAAGAATTCTATTCTGTTCCGTTCCATTCCATATTTTCTATTCTGTTCCGTTCCATTCCATATTTTCTATTCTATATTTCTATTTCTATTGCTATTGCTATTGCTATTGCTATGTTTATTCCTATTCTATTCTATTCTATTCTATTCTATTCTATTCTATTCTATTCTAACGTGCTGTCTGCTTAATAACCATTCACTGTGGATAGCAAAGGGCAGGGTTGGAAATTTGTGGCTGAAAACACAAGGCAGTACAGTCCCAGTGACAGTTGTTCTCATCACCTATGGCAAAACCTGCCAATCAAGTCTCATTCCATCAGAATAAATGTTACCACCTTGGAGCTTCTGTGTTGCTAATTTTATTCAGAATAAGGTGTTTTGTCGTCCCCCGCCCCCCGCTGGTAAAGATGGCTTGAAATCTTCCCATTTCTTTCTTTTTCTTTTTGAATTACAATTCTCAAAGTTCTCTTCATAGGAAACCATAATAGCTAAGCCAACATAGGAGTAATTCGTTACAAACAGGTGGGCATCTGGATAGAACATCTGAGAACCCATTTTCCTATCTAGCTTAAAGAGGAGGATCTTGAAAAGAAAGAAGTTTGATGCCAGGGGTTGGAAAACATCTGTCCTCAAACTTAACCCGAGCTTAAAACCAAAAGGAAGCCCAGTTTTAAATGTTATCCTTCAGCCCTTCCTCTATCTGTGAGAGCTAACTTGGATTTAGCTAACTTGGATCCGTCATCATCATCATTTAACGACCCCATAATCCCTCGTGGGGTGGAGTCTGGGCAGCTGAATGGAGCTTAGGGTTTACTGGCCGGATGCCCTTCCTGTTGCCAATGCAGAGTTTTGTTCGGCAGATATATATTCTCAGTGTGCCCAGAGAGAGAAAAATATCTGCCTCTACCTAGGATCGAACTCTCAGCCTCCTGATTGTGATGCGAGACCTCCACCTCTAGGCCACCGCAACACTCTTTGGATTTAGCACCCGTGAACCTGCAAAAAGAAATCTATTTTGTTTCTTTATGTTGATAGCATTGAGAAGTTCTGTGCTGAAGGGATCCCTTATTTGGGCATTCTGGTACAATCGCGACATTTGAGAACCGTCGTCCACGTCCTGGATAAGGTGTTGCTTCTCTTCTACCCGTGCCATTATTACCTTCTCAAGAACGAAAAGTGAGTTTCAGAATTACCTTGTTCTTTATCATGGTTTGGGCTGGTCTTTTATCTACTTTATAACAAATCTCCTTTATAACATTTGTCCTTTTTATATCCCCATATTTCGAGCTTCAGTTTTTATTATCGTAACCATTGGTAAAATAAGTCCCCTATCACAAAGTATTCAGTTTCTTCTTTTTCCTTAATTGTAACCGTTAATCTATCCATTTCTGCACATTCTAATTTTTTATTATTATTATACTCTTATCTGCCAGGATCTCATCACTTTTCCATTGTTGTGCAACTACAATTCTGGCTGCAGTTAATACATGTAAAATCTTCTATTTATATAAAAGTGAAATGCCACTCACACATCATAACAAAGTCTCCGGAACCGTAAAGCCTACAAACTTGAAATTTGGCACCTATATTCCTCTTGCCTTCTAGGTGCTCCCTAAGAAAGGATTTTCCGAAATGACCATCAGAGCATTAATATTTCCTATATTATTATTATTAACACGCTCTGATGCTAAGGAGTTCTACTTCCCCTCCCCACCTGAAAATAAATCTGTTCCAAAGGCAAAACACAAGCAGAGGAGAGGAGTTTCAGTTTCACAGCACCAAGCAGCTTTAGTACAGAATAGTTGAGCAAAGCCACGCCCAGGCTCCTTGCTGTCTCCTTGCTTACAGAGCAAATACTATTTCAGTTTCCAAACAGCCCTCAACTCTCTCACACGCTGACAGGACACTTGCCAGATGAATAATGATGGATGCTGGCAGACAGAGGCAGAATATTTTTCTGCTTATTTTCCTCCCCCAAAACTTAAGCCCGACCACATAGTTTTGTAGCGAAGCACGGGTGTCCAGCTAGTCAAATATATAGTCCTTTTATCATACTTTCCCAGCAGAATGCCCAATAAGAATATTTTTGGCTTCAAATCTATATGCTGCTTTATCATTTTTTGCCAACCAAGTATGTTGGACTACCTGTATATTGATAGGCCCAGGGGTGGGCTGTTGGAGTCTCACAGGCATTCGGGAGAGCCCCTAGCTAAGATTCTGTGCAGTTCGGAAAATCTCCAAATCCCACTCCTGGCTGGCTCTACCCACCCAGGAGCCCCCATGTAGCTCGTTTTGGGTGCAGGGCCCATGTGGAGCCTCAGGAAGAGTGAAAAACGGGCCTCTCAGAAATTTGGGAAGGCTGGAAATGGCCCTGTTTCCAACCTCCACAGCCTGGGGAAGCCGTTTTCGCCCTCCTGGAGGCTTGAGGAAAGCCTCCGGAGTCCGGGGAAAGCAAAAAACGCCCCTCCTGCCACGGTGCAGGAGGCCGACTAAGCCACACCCACCATGGCCACACCCACCCAGCAACCCTTAGCAGAGAACCCTTAGCTAAAAAATTTTTGAAGCCCACCCCTGGATAGTCCCACTTGTTATGGGTTGCTCCGACTGAGTCCAAAGGCTCTTTCAGCGTTGGGATGGAGGCGGGGTTTTGGTTGGGGTTGGGGGGGTGGGGAAATATGAATGGAGAAACCTCTGCCTGTGATTGGATAATTAAGATGGCCAACTTGTCTGTGGCTTCCCTAGGTTTCTCTCCTTCTTCCACCAGTTCCTTCAGCTGGACAGCGGGGTTCCCCAAGGGATGACTCAGCAAATGACCCACAGGGTGACTCAGCATTTGACCGGCACGAGTTACGGCAAAAACATTACGCTGTTGAACTCCATGATTCAGGTCAGGAAATAGAAGCGCCTCGGGGTGTGTGTGTGTGTGTCCCTGAAGATCCTTATTCTGGTGTTGGAAGAAATGTCCATCTGGGTTCAGTTCCAAGTGGGGGAAAAAGGCACTGGAAACATGGAGGCTGTTTGGAAAGATGGTTTAATGGTGGACAGGACCACGTGGCTTGGAGCGCTAAAGAAGGAAGGGCTGAGGTGCTGAGATTCCGGGGGTTTTATACCGTCTGTTGGGCTTTGAATTTGAGCTTGTGTTCTGATTGGTTGTCAGACTCCCATGGGGTCTGTGCAGGAGCAACTCTGTAGGCTGTCCTGCGTACAGTACAGGACTGTCCTTGGTTGACTCTTGCTAGGCGATGATGTAATGAAGAGGGCTTTGGGCAATTCCTATTATAGCTCTCCCTGGAATAGATCTTTGTTAGGTAAAATAGACTGGCTCAGGCCTTAATGGAAATATTAGAAAATGAATATCTATAACAGATAATCAGAGTTGGAAGGGACCTTGTAGGTCATCTAGTCCAACCCCCTGCCCAAGCGAGAGACCCTACACCATTTCTGACAAATGGCAGTCCAGTCTCTTCTTGAAAGTCTCAAGTGATGGCGCTTCCACAACTTCTGAGGGAAACTTCTGTTCCGTGGGTTGATTGTTCTCACTGTCAGAAAGTTTCTCCTTATTTCCAGATTAAATCTCTCCTTGTTCAGTTTCCATCCATTATTCCTTGTCTGGCCTTCAGATGCCTGGGGAAATAGCTTGACCCCTTCCTCCTCCCTGTGGCAGCCCCTCAAATATTGGAAGACTGCTCTCCTGTCTCCCCTGGTCCTTCTCTTCCCTAGACTAGCCAGGCCCAGTTCCTTCAACCGTTCACTGTATCTTTTAGCCTCCAGTCCCTTCATCATCCTGGTTGCTCTTCTCTGTACCTTTTCTACAGTCTCAACATCTTTATAATGCAGTGACCAAAACTGGATGCAGTACTCTAGGTGTGGCCTTACTAAGGCTTTATAGAGGGGTATTAGTACCTCCCTTGATCTCAATTGTATCCCTCTGTTAATGCAAGTTAAGATTGCATTGGCTTTTTTGGCTGCTGCTACACACTGCTGGCTCATATTTAGCTGGTTGTCCACTAAGACTCCAAGATCCGTCTCATAGTTACTGGCCCATTAACCAAGGTGTGTGTGTGTTGGGGAGGGGATGAGTTTCTCCCTCTTTGAGATTCTGCTTCTGTTTTAGGGGAAATATTCTGCCTTTTTAATAATCCTAAAATATTTCCATTTTTCTAGGAAAGGGGTGGGTGCTAACTTTCTACACCGGTTTCAATCAGATAAGGAGAACCAGGAAACAAAAACAAAGTAGTCCTCAATTTACAACCTTTTGTTAATGACTGTTGCAAGTTACAATAGCAGTAGCACTTACGTTATCACTGTTTCTTTCCCCTTTTTCACCTTCCATTTTAAGACTTAATAAATAACTATGTTTTCTTGATTAGCTTTTTATCCACACCTCATAGTATTAGATCAAATATTGTTGGCTCTTTATAGAAACCATATATATCTTTACCTCTTTTTCATATCTTGATTGCATTTGCAAGTGTGGCCACCATGTAAGGTCCACCTCTTGATTTAGCAGTTGTTGATTAGTTTTAAGTTCCCCTTTCTCATTTAAAATATCTTTATACGTTACCATTTTTTCCAAGTTTACCACATTTTGATGTGTCAGAGCTGCCGTTGTAGAGAGCCAGACTGGTATCTTCATGTAGTTTTTTGCTTTAACTTTTCCTCATACTAGGAGTAGGGCATTCCTGACATAATGTCTTTGAAAGTGTCTATATATTTTATTTTTTATCATACCACAGTCTTATATTTTCATCATACCACTCAGACTTATATACGGCTTTACAGTGCTTTACAGCCCTCTCTAAGCACTTTACAGAGTCAGCCTATTGTCCCTCAACAATCTGGGCCCTCATTTTACCTCAGAAGGATGGAACTGTTCTCACCAAGACTTCCTGAGATAATAACAATCACACACTGTTCCCCAAAAACTTTTTTTTTTTATTATTTCAACTGCTGTGAATAATATGCATTCATGACCTGTAATGAGTCCCAAACAGTTTATGAATAGTCCAACAGAAGTCTACCACAGTCCCTCAGGATAAGGCTGATAAGCACCCACCTTTATCTCCCTTGAAATACTGCCAATTAGATGTTCTACAAGGCCAAATGGCGCACAAAGTCAACACGGAGCTTCAGAGTTTAAACAGACCAGAACGAACAAAGTTGCTTCCTGCAAAGGCTCCTGTCCCTTTGCTCCTCCTTTATAACTTATGGGAGAGGCCAATCACCTCCAAGCCTTACTCCCGAGTCGCCCCTTTTGTCTTAACTGTTCTTGCCTTCTGGCAGCTCTGTGCAAGAGCACACTGGGAACAGTCTCCCCCGGTTCCTCTGCCTCGCTGATGTCAGATACTGGAGACTCCGGAGTCAACACATAACTTTCAGATGGCCCTGGCCCTTTCTCTGTGTCGGAGGCAGATCCCTCACCCGAGTCCTCCCCAGACTCCAAAACTGCCCCATGTTCCTCCTCACTGTGCGACTCTGCTGCCAGTTCCGCGGACCACAACAGCTGAAGGCTGGGTCAACCTTGAGCCTGGTGAGATTGGAACTGTCAAACTGCAGGCAGCTGGCAGTCAGCAGAACTAGCCTGCAGTACTGCGCTCTGACCACTGCGCCACCATGTCTCATAATACCGCTCACAATAGCACTAAAAGTATGACTTACAGACAGTCTCAAACTGTTGCAGCATCCCCGCTGTCATATAATGAAACTAGGGGAACTTGGCATGTATTTACGATGGTTGTACAGTCCTTGCGGAGGGACGGGGGGGGGGGGGTGTAGGTGCGATTGTCATTTGTGACTTTACTAGGGAGCTTCCAACAAGCAGAGTCAATGAGGGAAGCCAGGAATTTCTTAACGACTGCACGATCCCCTTAACAACTGTTGTGATACGTTTAACAACCATGGCAAAAAAAAGGGGGTCATAAAACGGGATGGGACTCCCTTAACAACCGCCTTGCTTTTAGCAATGGAAATCTTGACCTCAATTCATGGTCATAAGTCGAGGACCGCCTGTGTAGGACTCGGATCTTTCCCCCTTTTGACTAAGTCACTCTCTGCTTTATTTTGACAGAGCCACATTTTTATGAGCAGCCACCCCGGTGGAATCGGCCCGGCTGCCGTGTTGGAATTCTGGGTCCAGGTCTTGACCAGCCAACAGCTTTGGCACAAGGAGAGAGCCGTCCTCGAACTGATGGACGGTTTGTGCCAAGCCGCCTTTCAGTTCAACCAAGAGGATTGTGTGCAGAAGTTGCTCTATCAACAACACAAGGTATGGGTCCCCATCGTCACTGACTCTTCTGTCCCAAGGACCGGCCCATAGATTTCCACTGCTCTCCTCTCCTCTGCCTTATGCACATCTGCGTGTCAGGCACTGGACCCAGTTGTTCCTCCTCTTCCTCATCAGCCACCTCCAGACCTAGGGGCTGTTGACTCTCTACCTGAGGGCTGATGGATGATCCAGGCTCTGCCTCTCTCTCTCTTACACACACACAGAGCTCCATTTCCTCATCCCCCTCAGAGCGCTGATGCTAACCCTGACTCCCATGCCTCCTCCTCCTCCTCCTCCTCTTATTCGACTGCTAGAGGGACCAACGGCCGACAGGCCACAATAAATCCACAGGCTTCTCCAGTGGATTGAGATCTTGTAGGATAATGGCCCCCAACCTTTTGGACAACCTGTGGAGAGAAAATTTTCACGGTCCGGTGTGAGCGTGGTTTCACTTGCTGCCTGCATCCCACGGATGGGACTTCGCTTGTTTGTGTGGCTCAATTTCTGGCATTCCACAGCCCGTTGCCGGTCCATGGACCTGGTATTGTGAACCCCTATTGTAGGAGAATAGCAGGCAGAACTGGAAGGTGGCGTTAAGTGCGTCATCAGCTTAGAATCCTTACATTGCCACAAATGGTCTAAGACCAAGCCCTCCTGAAGTCACTTGACCGTCATATGGGGCCAATTTAGTGTTGAACGTTAGTTGACTAGATTCTTATATATAAATTTGAATAAATCTTTTGTGCTGCAACTTGACGGATGGTCCCGATCCTTTGCACCCAACAGATCTTACCCAACGGGATCAGTGAAACGCCGCAAGATTCGTTAACCGTGTTCCTAAGATCTCTCGCCAGCTTTTGATGATTTTGCAATATTCTCTCCATTAAAAAAAAGTACACATTTGAAAAAAAGTAATTTTGCAGATCCAAAGATATTATTTTAAGGGAGTGGTGCAGCGGCCTAGAGGTGGAGCTCTCGCCTTAACCATCAGGAGGCTGTGAGTTCGATCCTAGGCAGCGGCAGATGTTTCTCTTTCTCGGCACACTGCTCCGCATTGGCAACAGGAACAGTATCCGGCCAGTAAATCCTAGCTCCATTCAGCTGCCCAGACTCCACCCCGCGAGGGATTATGGGGTCATTAAATGATGATAATGGATCCAAGTTAGCTAAATCCAAGTTAGCTCTCACAGATAGAGGAAGGGCTAAAGAATAATATTTAAAACTGGGCTTCCATTTGGTTTTAAACTCGGTTCAAATTTGAGGACAGATGCTTTCCAACTCTGCATTGTCGAGAGGAATGGCATCCGGCCAGTAAACGCTGAGCTCCATTCAGTTGCCCCGATTCCCCCCGATGTAAGGGATTACGGAGTCATTAAAAGACGATAGATAGACGGAGGGAGGGAGGGAGATATGGAGATTATAGGTCTGGTAGCTCCTGCAGGCAAGCCTAGTGAAATATAACAGCCTGGATAGAAATATTTATATATTTTGCTTCTTATGAGTGTTTTTTTTTTAATTGAGACACTTTTTAATTAATTTATTTTTTGCATTAGAAATCTCCTTTTGATTAGAACGCACACAAAAAGTGGCACGCACACACATAACACACACATTACAAGAGAAGCTAGGATTCAAATTTTCTTGTTTACAGAGAAAGGAAAATTGGATTATTACCCTTCTCTAAAAATGAGTCTGTTAATGGTAGCTGATTAAACACAGCCGACATGAATTAAATAGCCATATTTTTTGGGAACGAGCGTTATAAATGAATCTCCTTGCTGCATGTTAACCTGGAAGCATCACACGATTTGCTCATTAGCTAAACTACATTTGTCTGAATTGGCACAATACCTAAAGCCATAAATTGTATTTTATAACCGTAATGGTTGGGACTACAGAATGGGCCCTGCTAAATCCAAACAAGTTGAGTGATGGATTGACACAGTTCTTTTAAAGTGGATTTTCGATGGGCCCTAACCAGGGATCGACATTTATTTTTTAAAATTTCAGTCCCAGAATTTTTTTTAATGTTTCTTTGTTATGGAAGGACTCTGTAAAGAAGGCAGCTTTGTCTTAACCCACATGTCTTCTCTTTTCCTCAAATTTCCCAGAATGCTCTGGGCTATCACAGCGACAAAGGGCTGCTATCTTCCTTGGTCAGCTGGATTGTGGCAGGCAACATCACACCGTCCTTCATAGAGGGAAATGCTAATTCCACGCAGGTAAAGAAAGCATCCTGGAGTTGATGGACTAAAATTTTGCTTGGGGTTTATGGCCCGTTCTCGTAGGAAATAACCAGGTGGTGCCTGAAGGTGGGGTCAAATGTGCTATCAGTTTTGCAGCCACAAGAGACGTAAGTCCTTGCCACTGTGAACTCCTTGGACTCTTTATCTAGTGCCAATTTGCCTTGATCATTACTAAATCACATTCTTGTGCAGAGATACCATGGGAAAAATTTTTAGTGCTATGAACACAACTTTTGTTTCTGTTGCACCTGATGCTTCTTAGCTTCTCATAAAACCATCTTCCTCCATAGACTTAAGATGGCCTTGCAAGACCATGTAGAGGAGACATGATTGTTGTCATGCCCCTGTCGGAATCTGATTCTGAGGGGGAAGCCAAGCAGCTGACAGGGAGTGGGAGAGTGGCTCCGTTGGCTGTGGAGGAAACTGGGGAAGGGCAAAGTCCAGCTGGGCAGAGTAGGGGAGAGGTAGAGCAAGGCAGAGGAAATTCAGAGGAAGACCCAGGCCCACCCCCTCTTCATCCTAGAGTACGCAGGGAGGAATGGAGAAGGGAGCAACGTGAGTTGCGTGGCTTACGGGGGAGGAAAGGGCCCTGATTCCCTTCATTAGCTGCAGCTGGGAACACAGGGTTTAAAAAGGAAAGCTACGCACAGCAACTTGTTGGAATCAAATTGTATCTATTATCTTCGAGGCTTATCTGTGTTCCTGGCATCTTCCCAACTGTGTGTGTTTTGTTAGCCTTTCAAGTCTGCAATTCGCTCTCCTGCCCTGTCAAGTGAATTACCGCAGCGTGGTTTGTGTGGATTTTTATTTACAGTTTGTATGTACTCTGTTTTGGGACTGAATTTCCTCCACTTTAAAGACTGTTCTTGAGAGAGTTTTTTTTCTCCAGCCGAAGTTGGGGGCAAAGTTGGAGGCACTAAATGGACGCTTCTTACTTATGTGACTACGTTGTCTTTGTGCCACGCCCCGGGTCATCACAATTGTGCTTTCTCCTAGAATGGGGAGGCAGGGAATGCTACAGGTGAGTTTAGGACGTTTAAGGCATGGAGTCTTGGCTTCCACCCCCAGCCACCCGCCTCAGCCCATTTACAGCCAGATTCCCTGCTCCGCTGGCCCTCCCCCGGCCATGTGTTAATAATAATAATAATATAGGAAATACTAAAAATGCTCTGATGGTCGTTTCGAAAAATCCTTTCATAGTGAGCACCTAGAAGCCAAGAGGAACATACATCCCGAATTTCAAGTTTGTAGGCTTTACGGTTCTGGAGATTTCGTGATGATGCGAGAGTGTGGAATTTCGCTTTTATATAGATAGACAAAATAAATAAATAAACAGACCAATGTTGCTTTCTAATTTACAGGTTTGGTTTGCATGGAGTGTTCTGAATATGGAGTCCATATTTGAAGAGGATTCCCAGCTCCGTAGAGTTGTGGTGAGGGAGTTGGTTACCAATTCCGATTCACCGGAGCAGACTCTGAAGGTAAATCCGCAAATTATTCTTTATTTAAATAACATCTCCCAGAACGATGGTTTTTCCCGGCCCACCACCTGAAGGATGTGAGATATTGATAAAAAAAAAAAGAATATTTGTAGCTTTCAGGGTTGAAACGAGGGGTCCTCGGTGCTCTATGAGCTTGTTTGTTTTCTTTCAGACGTTTCATTACCCAACCAGATTACATCATCCACGCTAGTTAGGAAAGGGCTTTGCAGAGCTCTGCAAAACCCATTCCTTGCCAGCACTGATGATGTTACCTAGTTTGAGCAAGGAAACATCTGCAAGAAAACAACCAAATTCGGAGAGCATCAACAATGTGAGGTGTTGCCAAACCTTTGATTAGCTGAAACCGCTCCGTATTTCTCTTTGGATAATACCTTGTATTATTTACATTTGAGGAGACTAGAATCATAATATAAATTCTCAAAGAGATTTTATTCAGTTACTCCTTTTTTTAAAAAAAGCTAAGTTTTGTTTAAGCATTTTAAAACAACTTTATTCTTTAAAAAAAAAAAGACAAAATAATAAAAAGAAAACTTTGAGGGAGAAAGATCAAAAAAGGGAAAAAAAAGTTATAAAGTCACAAAAAAGGGAGGGACTGACTTCCTACTTTTTTTCAGTACAGGTACAAATAAATAGGACATTAAACTTTTGATGTTGTTATCCATTCATTTGAGTCTTATTCTGTGATTCTGTGGGCCAGTTCTGTTCACGTTTTCTGGATCTTGCGCTAAAACGACACTCGAGTTAAAAAGGAGACATGAAAACGTATATACGCAGATTATAACAATCCAAATAACGTTAGCCTATAACAAGAAGTTTCTTGCTCTGAGGTTAAACATAAGCAAAAATAAATATAGTGGACCTGCACTATAATAAGAATTAAAACACACAATATTTTCATCATCCTAACAAATCTAATTGCCAAATCCTCAAAGCAGAACTGCATTTTTATCTTAAGCAAGAAGTCCAAGCGTGCTCTCCAGATGAAAACAAAGCGAGGTAATATTTTTGTCTTCCACCAAAGTAGCGAGTTTTGGCATCTCTGCCAACTCCATTCATTTCAAAACCCATTCCTCAGTTGTGGGAATTCGTGTTCCTTTCCACTTCTGCGCATACTAAAGTCTCCTGAGGCCGTTGTCGTCACCTATGGGAACAAAATCCTATGTTTTCTTTCAGTCT